ACCTTTCCAAATTTTTTCTTGTGGTTGATTTCGACTTTCATAGCATTGTGGTCTGAATATATGCACGGTAATGATCTCGATCTTTTTGTACTTGTTGAGGGCTACAATTTTAAAAACTTTTAAATTATCTCGGGTTCCAGGATTCTGATTGCTGGTCAGTATTTACCTTTTTGCTATCACGTTATTATATCATTGATGCTGGTATAGCATTGTGGTTAAAAGCTCAGGCTCGGGGCACCTGGGTGGCTCAGTCGGTTAAGTGTCCAACTTCGACTCAGGTCACGATCTAGCAGTCTGTGAGTTCGAGCCCCACATCCGGCTCTGGGCTGATGGCTCAGAGCCTGGAGCCTGCTTCCCATTCTGTGTCTCCCCCTCTCTCTCTGCCCCTCCCCCGTTCATGCTCTCTCTCTGTCTCAAAAATAAATAAACGTTAAGAAAAAAAATTAAAAATAAGAAAAAAAAAGTTCGGTCTCTGAGGGGCACCTGTGTGGCTCATTCGGTTTAGTGTCTGACTTTGGCACAGGTCATGATCTCACGGTTTGTGTGTTCGAGCCCCACATTGGTTTCTGTGCTGACAGCTCAGAGCCTGGAGCCTGCTTTGGTTGGATTCTGTGTCTCCCTCTCTGTCTGCCCCTTCTCCCGCTCATGCTCTGTCTCTCTCCAATAAACATTTTAAAACATTAATTTAAAAAAAAAAAAAAAGCTCAGGCTCTGGATCCAGATCCAAATTCTAGCATGCCAATTCCTAATGTGTGACCTGGGGAAAGTAATTTCCTCTCTGAACCTCAGAGAGAATGCAAATGATATCTTCTTAGGGTTGGTGAAGATTAAATGAAGTAGTGAACTAAGAAAAGTGCCTGCATAGCAAGCATTCAATAAATGTTTAACTTTATTTAAATTTGAGGCCTGGTAATACTTAAATATTTTCCCTTGTTCATAAAAGATCTAGATAAGTATTTAAATAATAATTGGGGATGAGCCCTTTTTGGACATCCCCGAGAGACATTTTATATGAATATATTGTACTTTATGAATGTTCCAATAAGGTGAATTACTCTCTACCCAGTTCATTTTGTGTTCACTTTCTCTCACTCTCCTTCCATTGTATTTTTTAGATTGAATCAGCAGAAGTGTCTGGAAACAGCGTAGTGTGCAGCTTTCTTCAGTATATGGAAAAGTCAAAACCTTGGCAAAAAGCTTGGTGTGTGATCCCCAAACAAGACCCTCTTGTGCTGTACATGTACGGTGCTCCCCAGGTATGTAAACTGCATTTTTCTGAGGGGATGGAGGTCCTGGGGTACAAAAGGAGGTGAATAGACACTGAAATCAAAATCTTTCCATTACTATCCTCTATAGAACAAGAGAGTTCAACCACTTGCATTGTCTTTCATTACAATTGAAAAATAGTAACTAAAATTCAAGTTTATATACACTGATTTGTAAAGTTTTTAGGCTGCTTTTTAAAATATAGCCCATAATTTCTTCCCCTTGTGCCTCATTTGTCTCCTTCCTTCTTCTCATTCCTCTCCAGTGGTTTGAGAAAGGGTGAGTTGGATTAGGAGGGGGCATGAGAGAAGGGGTGAAGCAGAGGGAGAAGCAAGGAGGAGAAGGAGCCTTTATAATGCCAGGAAATGATTATGATAAGTTGGGGTTTTTTTTTCCTGAATGGATGGATGCCTGAAAAAGAAAAGAATATGAGAGGAAGGGGAATTTAAATCAACCTTGGATTAACATTATCCAGTAGCAAGTTTTTGAGAACCATGTGTGCATAGATGTGAGCTAAATCTATGGGAACAACAGACATGCAGGCTGAGCTTCTCACCAGAGCAGCCCCAGACACTGTGGCTTGTGTTGTGCTGAAAAACACCTGCATTCACCTGGAAATATATAAAATCTTCAACGCATCTGTTGTATTTTACCCTATGTCTGCATTAAGAGCTAGGAAAACCTTATTTTAGAAATAGACTACAAATACCAAGGTATATATTGTCTTCTGTTCCATTGTTTTTCCCATAACTTTTCTTGTCCATAAATACATTGATGCCTGAATAAGTGGATCACCAAATAAAGCTGCGTTTGGTAATGAAATCATCATTAACATTTGCAGCTTTTATACAATACCTTATTTTTTTCCCTTTTTCATCTGAATGAAGAGTTGAATGGACTCCTTCACAGAGAGAGGGTGTAGGATCAGTGAATCGTAGCTGATTTAGGTATCAGCTCTCATTCATTAATTCATTCAGCCAGCATTATCAGTGGCCTCACGTGCAGGCAGTATGCTAAGTCCTGGATGCCCATCTCTGTCCACGGAGAGCTCACAGGGCGCATCTGTGTAGAACAGTGGTAGGAAAAGAGGTTTAGTGGGAGCCAGGTCACACAGGCCCATGAACAGCAAGCTAGTACATCTCACGCTCCTATGTACCATGTTCTTTCCTTAGGATGTCCGAGCCCAGGCCACCATTCCACTCCTGGGTTACGTTGTGGACGATATGCCAAGGAGTGCAGACCTGCCACACAGTTTCAAACTGACCCAGTCCAAGTCTGTGCACAGCTTTGCCGCAGACAGTGAGGAACTGAAACAGAAGTGGCTGAAAATCATCTTTTTAGCTGTCACAGGTGAGACACCAGATGGTCCCAGCAAGCATCCAACCACCTTGGATGATCATCCTGAACCTAAGAAAAAATCAGAATGCTGAACTTCAGGACCATCCACAGTGTGGAGGTCCTAAGATTTACAGCTCAAGACATTCCCAGCCCTCCTCATTCATCTCTTAGCACTTTATGTTGAAAAATATAGGCTCTTAAATGCATCTTTTGGGGAAGTACTTTCCTATGTTTCTGTATTCATAGTGAAACTAATGTGCAGAGCCATTCTACCGGTAAAAGTTTGAAATAATGTGAAAATGGAACATTTTTTAATGAGCTATTCCTTGCATATGTACTTTTGTCTTGAAGAAAATGTTATCAGTGGATTCTATCACTATCAGGTTAGAATAGGCCACCTCCATTTAAGGTCCTGTAATGTCTTCTCCTTCACAGGTAGGACTTGTAACAGTTTGAAAGATATACCTCCATGTTGCCAAAATAGATCCGTGGTAAAAATAAATAAATAAATAAATAAATAAATAAATAAATAAATAAATAAATAAATAAATACAGGGACAGTTTAGGCTATTGTATTAACTTATTTAATTTAGTTTATAAAGCTCAAGCTGCATAAATGATGTATGTTCTTTTAAAACAACAAGGACAAATTGTTGGTGTTCAAACTTTCAACTTATTAAGAAAAGATAATACTTGTTTTTGTAGAAATACTCCTAAGAATAAAATATCTCAAGTATATAGCAATTATGTGTATATAGTATTAAATATGAATATAATTATATTATACATGCTTTCTCTTCAGCTTTAGGTTCATATTTGTCTCTAATTTATTTTTTAAATGTAAAGCATGTTTTATCTTGCAATTGAACAGTGTTCTAAACTTTAAGAAATGTTTTTGGTGATTTATGTTTAACTGATTGACATCTTAAGGTATTGATATTTTTATAATAAGAAAAAGCAGTAATTTATTTGGCATGGGATATATTAGTTCCAACAGTATTTTTAAAGTACTATTTTTTTGTTCTGTGCCTATTTAAAACAGTGCCTCTCTTTGAAGGTGCTAATAATACCTATTGAAATATATGATGAGGGTGTAATTAATGCTTCAGTCTTGATTATTCTGAGATAAAGTGCACTTTGGTCACTGGGATGGTCAAAGTCACACAGGTTATTTTATCTTTCACAATCTCACAATTTTTGCAGCAGTTAATATCAGCATGTGCACAAATTTTCACAGATACCTAAACTGTACAAGATACCTGACTCTATACAGAACTGGGACATAGGGAAACTACATTGATTGTAATGTTTTTCTTTTCCATAAGACTGTTAAAGTATGGTCAAATGCGGACTATATAACTAACACTTCAGATAACTGTGTGGGCCTATTCCTTTGTCCGATGGGGAACAAAATTCACACGTGATCACCTGTGTTTGAGGTGCAGGGAGATAGATATTAGAGGAAGTTTATGCTCAACTCTTTTAACCACCTCAGTGAGGAAGAGGAGGGAGAAACACAATAATGAAAAGCAATATTTTAATGGCAAGTTTGGGGGAGGTACAAGATGATTGAAGAGAGTCTGAGTGCTTTTTCTCATCTTCTGGAGAATTTTTAATAGTCCAAACATGATTTCTTGTACAAAGGCTACTCTTCACCATACTGTGGTTGTGACTAAAATCTCACATTAGGTTGACTATTTAACTTAATCTTTTTCTCAAATTAGTATTTTTCCCCCCATATAGCCTGTTATACCCCAAACATTATCATGTTTAAATGCCTAAGTCAGCTAGAAATCCACAAGAATGACCCCACTATTTGGCCTTTGAGGATGACACCTTAAATGTAGAATAGATTCACTCAGAATTTGAGACTGCCACACATTTATTCAGGCCTGCTGTTTTAAGAAATATTTAAAGTATCTTTTTTCCCCACTCCAAAAAAGAAGGTAAACTGATTATGGCGGACACAGTTAGATTGCCTTCCTCTATAAAAAGGAAAGTCAGCCACGATCATTAACATTAAACCAAATATTTGGAGTCAGAAAGAGATAAAGGTAGCTTCTTAGGCCCTATCAAATAAGGGACAGACTCAAAGAAATGTTACATTACTTCTCTTTTCTAGCTGCCAACCTTGGGGTGGGTATGTATGTACAACATATGTGTTCAGGGTGGCTTTTGAGAAGGTTACACTATAGCTATAGATGATGTATTGGTGTTCTAAATCTGAAGAAAAGAGAAGCAATAAAAATGCAGAATGATTATCAGTAAAACATGACTTTCATAAATGTGGACAGAGCAATGGAAACATAAGGGCCAGTTAGAAGATTTATGGGCCAAGTTAGTTTTGAAAACTCTTTTGAACAGCAAGCAGACTACACTTTCCCTACCGTAAGTTCTTCTCCTGGGAAATCGAGTGATATGGACACACTCAAGTTTTGGCTGAGTAAATATCAATGTCATTTAATTTAGGTTATTGAGAGAACACTCCTGTAAAAAGAATATCATCATGCTCTTAACATTATCTTTAATTTTTTTTTTTAACGTTTATTTATTTTTTTGGGACAGAGAGAGACAGAGCATGAACGGGGGAGGGGCAGAGAGACAGGGAGACACAGAATCAGAAACAGGCTCCAGGCTCTGAGCCATCAGCCCAGAGCCCGACGCGGGGCTCGAACTCAGGGACCGCGAGATCGTGACCTGGCTGAAGTCGGACGCTTAACCGACTGCGCCACCCAGGCGCCCCACATTATCTTTAATTTAAAAAAAAGCAGAAATATTCGTACTAGAAGAGAATTTCTGATTATTCAGTCACCGTCTTCATGTTTCACCCCGTGTTCTTTAGACAAGCACAAAGAGAAGCACTGAAGCAGCCTTACCTGTTTCTCTTAAAGAATCACTAATGCTTTTACTTGGAGAAAGGCAAGGGCATACTCTTAGGCATTTAGTAAACACTCAACTAAACTAAAAGACTTCAAAGTGTGATTGGTTTCAAGAACCATCTCCATCTTGGTTTTTGACACCCCTGAGCAGCCATGACAAATTGAACATAAAAAAACAATTAATTGCTTTCCTATTAAAACCAACATCCCATATAGGCTTTATTCTTTATCTTCCCTAATTTGGTGCTTTCCAAGCCATCTTTAAAGTGCCCTTCCTCCAAACCTAAAAAGTACTTCTTCGATAAAAACTGCTACTCACCACAAACATTCCAGTTTTTTAAACTTAAATTTCGCTTTTATTGAAAGTCTCCCATTTGGTATATTAAGTACAAAATGTAGTGCAGACTTCTCTCCAGATTTAAGTGGGACTCGGTAATGAAAAATGCCACCAGCCACTTTCGTAATAATGGCATCTACGATGCCATCATGTATGCAAGCAATAAAATTCTTCAGGGTATGTTTTTATACTGAAATTTTAATACGAATGCCTCTAGTCACAAGGAGATAGAGAATTAACTTCTAGAAATGATACTATAACTTCTAGGGAAGAGAAGGGGAGGGCATTATTCCTTGGATTCAAGTAACTGTCAAGGGCATCTTTACTTTTGCAAAGGGTATGGATAGTGAAAGAATTAAGCACATCTGCACTACGTCATCAAGGTCCTTTCATTTTCCGTGTAGTTTAACATAACATGCAGGTTGGCGTACTTACCTTCACCAGGTGACCTACCCCAATTAAAAACAAATACTCCAACCTAAAAAAGTACTAAACTTTTTACAAAAACCTTTTCAATATACCCTGTCCCATATATAGATACACATTTGGATTTTTTAAAAGAGTACTTGTAGTAGTCATGAGTATATAAAGAAAACGACAAGCTTCATAGTGCTGCAGGGTTGCTAAAGACTCATTGATGCCTTTAAAAACCGTATATCAAAAATACTTCTGTGAGTTCACAGTTATGTTTTACTTTCTCTTATCAACTTTGTGGAAACAGGGTGGTTGTTTTCCCTTCAAATTTTCGATCCCACTTCTGATTATATTTAAAGCCTTAAGTTCTTATGCTGAGAATATTGTCTGTGATAACTCTAATTATTATCTTTCTGGACTAGATATGTCCAGAGGAAAGGGCACCAACAGGAGCAAATAAACTTCTAAGGAACAAAGGTCTTATTTTTTTTGCAGGTATCCTTGCTATAATGCAGAATAGAAGATTAAAATTTCTTACATCACATGATATTCGTGTTAGCGGGTCTAAGATTAAGCACATGGTATTAATAAGCTAAAATTAACTCAAAAGGCAAGAATGTCTTAATGTTTTCATTCTTCAATTTTGTATTCTTCAAGAATGTATTAATATAAAAACTGTGGCTAACCAGTTCTTATTCTATAGAACTGTATTGACACCTGTAGTGGATCGTGTTACTTCTTCATTCTCATCCAATTTTAGTAGAATCAAATTGCTTTTTATTTTCATATTACTACCTACTATAGATTCTTCAGATTTAGAAAATATGAGTCTGATATATAAAGACCACTAGATCTACTTTTAAATCCCTTTCTGTGAATTTATGCATATATGTATATATGTAAAAACACTGTTGATTTCCAATTCTGTTTTTCCATAGGAATGAAATTTTTATAGAAACTGTTCTCTTCACTTAAATATCTTAACATGAATTATTTACATGGGTTTTTAATACAATTCATTCTTCTGTATGCCCCGTAATCATGTTCTCATGAGCAGATAACTTTGCTTTCTTTACTGATACAGTAAAGAGGAATAAAAAATTAGGAACTGAAATAAGCAAGAGTGAACAGAGAGGTGGACAGAAAGAGACTGCTGATCTCCTGATCAGAGCAGTGTATGTTAAGACAAGAGAAAAATACTTTAAGTGCAGTAGGGATATGAACTATAAAGTAGAAGTCTTTGTAATAGCATACTGATAGGATCTGTTGCCCCCAGGTCTTTCTCTATTACTTACCTTTTTCTTTAGGCTTAAAAGACTTTCATCCTATTGGGCCATTTTCTGCACTGTTTTATGAGGTAAAAAATTCCTCTAAAGTCAATCATGGTTTTCTACTTTTTGGACTGAGCGTTTGGCAGAACTAGCACATGGCTTCTACAAGATAGTTTTTAACTCATTGGAGTCACTGAGGGTTACATGATGGTATCCTTCTTCCTAAAATTTGTTATGGTAGATTTAGTGAGAGCGTAAATCAAGAAATCTCATTGTAGCATATTTTAATAAGTAAATACCAAATACATAGA